AGTTCCCTAAAATAAAGTATTTACAGTATGTGGTAATTGTGGGTAATCAATTAAAGTGTAAATGAATTGGGCCAATTGACTTTTTGTGTGTGCAAAATTTATTTATAAACAACATTATGAAAAAAAATCGAGTGAAAGGGTATATAAATTGGTAAACAGTCAAAATATTTTAAAATCGGGTCACGCCCCCCCCCCCTCTCCCGTCACCTTCAAGTTTTTTCGGCATTACAAGTGTTGCCGAAATGGCGCCGCCAACGGGACCTTAAAGCAGGAGATAGATAGCAGACAAGATTGTTTACCATTTTCCATATGCACGCATTTAGTAAACCAGCAAATACAACGAGCTACTACGATCGTTATCATGGGGAAACGCTGTGTTGTTGCCGGGTGTAGCAACACACACAGTCTTTATGCGTTCCCAAAAGATGTGGAGTATTTCTGGTTTCGGTACATGTGTCACTGACGGGTGGCAGCTTTGCAAAGTAACTGTGTAAATAACCAGAAAAATAATATTGTCCATGTAGAATATGAATATTAGTTTGATTGAAAAGTTTAGAATGAACTTGTGTAATTATGCCAGAGTCGAAATGACTAGAACGATCGTGGAACAACAACAAAATACAAAATAGTGATTGGAAAATGTAAGCACTGGACACACTCACCGTTCATGTACTTTGTGTCTTTTACATGATTTCATCAGAAGATCAAGAAACTGAAAATTGCATTTTTACAAAACACTGATCTGAGTTGTCAAGCTGGTAACGATGTTCAAACTCTACACCTTTACCTGAATCGTTACTGTCATTTTGGGGAGGTACACGATCACCGACATCGCATACTTTTCTCGCAGGTTCAAACCAATTTGTCCCTGGCGCTCTAAAACAAAAACTTGACATTTCTCGTTGTCATCATATTCCTCGAACTCATAACTCTCGTCAGGCGATGATAAGATAGATTCAGTGTCGTTTTCCGAGCACTGTATGCGTATAGCGGCCATTGTAAAATGATGACAAATCCCCCCCCCCCCCCGTGACGTCATAAATCATCCTTGTATGCTAATTAGGTTCTCTAGATAGAGCCTCGTTCTGAGTCGACCAAGAAATTGGAAGTGGACGTTTCCTTGTCCAGAACATTGATAGTTTATTTAATTTATGTACATTTTTCACTTGATTTATTTTCATAACGCTGTTTATAAGTTTATAAATAAATTTTGCACCAAAAAAAGTCAATTGTCCCAATTCAGTTACACTTTAAGCACAGTTCCCATGGCAATGAATAAAATAGATATTAAATTTGTCCAACTTGTTATGCAATTATCCAAGGCAGTGATAGTAACCTGGTGAGGAAACTGTCACATTCCCACTTTCTAATAAACATTTATTTTTTTTATTTTTGGAATATCAGTCTAATGGAAGAAAGGTGACAATCTACCGTAATCACTATGGCAACCTCATCATCTCAGAGAACATCTACTGCAATAGTGGCTGCTGCAGCTAGAGGTCCTAAACCACCAACAGACTGGAAACGACGTGTCAAATCAGAGTACATGAGGTTGAGGCAGTTAAAGAGATACAAACGAGCAGATGAAGTGAAGGTTTGTTTTCTTTGTCTGTGTTTGCACTATTAAACGTTAAATGCAAGTTACAAACTTAATTTCTAAATAAATCTTGCATGTATTTCAATAGTCAACAATACTGAGTGATACCAAGTAGTACAAATTTGATTTTGATGCAAATGCGGAATTTCTAGCTCTAAGTGTAAGATTGGCTGCAGTAAATTTTATTTGTGTTTCTGTTCTACTAGGCTGCCTTCAGTGAGAATAGACGTTTGATTGCTGAGAAGACTGAAGGATATTCCTATTCTTGGAGAGCCAAACCAGCTCAGATTATCCATGCACCTGCCACGTTTGATCATGTTCCAGTAACGAGGAAGGTAACATATACAAATATGTATACTTTGGTTAATGGGGTAGGCAACCTGCACTGTGGGTTTACAGGGTTTGTTCAGTCCTGGAATTTATGGAACATCCTGCAAAATGACTTTCGGCCCTGGAAAGTGAACAA